TGACACGGTTAAATAGTTAACTGCTTTTGTACATTGCCCAAAAGTCTGACGACGAGCTGGGGATCCAGACTCGAAAATTTACTCATTAAAGTTTATTCCCTTCCCAAAGAATCTTACTTATTTTCAATATATATATATATATCAATCAGGACTGGGCGCACACCGATCTATTGGCTTCACGAAGCAAACAAGCTCCGTATGTGTGGCAAAGGTCACGAACAGGCAACCAATTACCAGGCCGAAGTCGGCCAAGTCATAATAGCCGCATTCTCGGTCGTCCCTCCTTGGGATTGGGTATGACTGGCTGATGACGGCTAATAAGCCAGAAATGGCCATTCCGGTCTCCCTTGTCTTTGTCGGTATCACCTTCTCAACATATATCACTAGTCGCTGTGCGTCTGCCTGCGAGGGTTTAAGTATGAGCCCAAAGGCACAACGGAACGAGCATGTTCCGTAACCTGATCGGTGAGCGCCCACTATCATAAATATATATATATATATAAGTCGGTTGGCGCTTACTGGTCGCGCTAAGGAAAACACACTTCCGTCGTGCCTTGAGGCTCTCCCTCTTGACCAGCAGTCGTGCAGCAGAGCGGCTGCTGCTGAGGCCCCAAGGCAAAACGAAAAAAGTGAGTTTCTTAGCGCGATCTGTGAGCGCCCCTCTAACATTGTATATACCGAGTCGCAACCGACAGCACAACGAACCCGTATACATAAGGTCACGTAGCATCTAACATAAGCCTTAATTTAGGAAACGTCTATAATCAGCCGGAGACCGCCCAAAATGTATCGATAAAACTGCGTACTTAAACGGGAACGACTTTTGACGATGTGATAGAAAGAAATATTAACTATATTACTTAGAAACGACACCTTCTTTTATAAAAACAGCAACTTCGAGCAGGCCAAAAATGTTGCATGAGAAAAATTAAATTCTACAAGCATGTAAATCCTGTACTAAAAATGGTCAAGTAAATAAGACAGCGTAAGTGGAATTTTTTAAAATAGTCCTTTATTTCGGTTTGTTCTCATACACCAGTAAATGCTTACGGACTCCACTTTCTGATCCACTGCTCATAAACGTAGGCTCTATGCCATATGTATTCATGAGAACTTCAAAAGGAAGGCATTGTTTGGGAGCACTTCTAGAAGTATTTACTTTTTGGCATTCTTATTTATGCAGAGTTATTGATATTTATTCAGTAGGTGGCATACCTTATGAAACGTGGTGAGGGAAATCTATAGGCTCATGATGAAACATATAAAATGCTGTTCAATTTATGCATTTGTCTAACGCATTCCCAAGATGTTCTTTTCTTATGTAAACTGTGTTTTAAGTAGTTTTTCGGGCAAAAGTTTGCAAATTTGAACGAAATTCAACATTACCTTATATTTGGGCAATTTCAAATGCCAGTAGCCGTCCAAAAGTAAGTTTCCCACAACAGCAGAGTAAGTTAGACTGGAGGATTTTACAGGACATATCTCGCTGCACTGTAGAATTGATTTTTTAGTCGCGTGAGTCACGTGAATCAAGCCATGAACTAACACGTTACTTCTAGAAAACCAGACGTTTGAGCAGTACGTTAGTGTTTTTCATGGTCGTTGCTGTGCATTAATACGGGTAGAACTGGTCTTCAAATTAAACAAAAAGGAGCAAAAATGGGTCCATGATAAAGAGAAAATGAAGTTTTTCACGTGAGTCACGTGAATCAAGCCATGAAATAGGACTTTACTCTTATAAAACCAGAAGTTTGAGCAGTGTGTTAGTATTTTTCATGGTCGCTGCTGCGCATTCAGAAGCTTAGAACTGATCTTCACGTTAAAAAATAACACAAATGGATCCATTATAAAGAGAGAAATGAGTTCTTTGGCTTTTATCAAATATCATTTATTGGAAACTTTGATAAACGCAGAACACAGAACCCATTCTTTGAGCGACATTTGAGAAGCTTAAAAACTGCAAAGCACACCGATATTTCAATGTCACCCTCAAACTCAGAGGTCGTCAAAAACCACAAATCACTCACGTAAAGGGGTAAACTTACGACTGCGTCTGCTAATTCGATTTAAATTCCTGTGACCCTGACCGGCCAGTCAACAGGTGAACTTCAGACAACGTCCAATACTTTGACATTCCTGTCAACCATCTCAAATGAAATGCCTCAGTTAACTGCGTCTTAAAAAGTGCAAAA